GCCCATGTGTTTTAATGTATGTTAAGCCATTCAGCGCGTCAAATGCGATGTCAGAAATACTGGTTGTGTATATGCTGAATGCAGCACGTCATGCCCCTCCGACACATGGCGCTTCCCCGTGGTCTTACGGGAGCTATTGCGAGTGCAGGGCAGCAGAAAGTCGCATCTAGTTATTGCATGATGTGTGACGGTGCTGGAGAGGCTGTACTGACCAGACAGTAGCTCATCTCTCAGTAGACTAAGCATAAGTGCAGCTTGGCTGAGCTTCCAGCCGATGTCCAGTTACAAGTGTAAGCAGTATTGGAGCAAGAGCAACACATATTTTTCCAAACAAAGCAAGAACTTAAGATTAAAATTCAATGAGCAAAAGAATGCAACATTAAGAACAATCAGGAGCGTCAGGTGTCTCACACTTTGCCTTATGTGTTACTATCATCAGCGTGTAATTAGTGATTGTTTTTGTGGTTTGCACACCATAAAAGTAGTGGACACCTCGACTACTTGTACACATGAAGCATAAACAGTTGCTTCCCTTTTATTTAAAGAATATCTTTCATCCATGTTTCTCTTTTCTTTCTATTTCTTTTTAATTATTTGCACTGTATGCAATCTGCTATTCAAACTCAGGTCTGGTGAAATGTAGCTCAGGACAAAAAACACAGTTATATTCAATGATGGCACCACTGACTGAATAACAGATTCCAGATGTTAATGTATCCAATGAACATGGGTCAGTCACAAGTTCCATCACCGACAAGTGGTTTAGGGTGAGGGGCAGATGAGGCCCATTCTTTGCATAACACTTGCCTCAAACCATCGTAAATTTTATTAATATGTTTTGTGCTGGATTGATTTACATAAAATTGCTTTAGGTTCAATGCATGTCATAATGTTGTTTTGGTAAACGGGGTTTACTATTTAATAAATGGATGAATTCATATATATATACTTTGGGGTGGGTTTGGTAATTTTCAGTTAATATGTAATGAAAGAAAATACTTTTCACTGTTTTCAAGATTACCTATATTTTGAATAGTTTCTTATTTCAACTTGGATGAGCTTGACTTTTATGCAATAAGGTGAGACAAAAAAGGTACCGTAACCTTTTGAGAATAGTGGCTGACAAATATTTCAGTCCCATTCCGCTGACATATTAAGATTGACTGGTGTGGACACAACCAATATATGGACCCCGTATCACCCGAGGAAAGCTGCAAATCTGTGTGCTCAGACAGTTCAAATATTAGTCATTTGAAAGACTATAAGCTTTTTTTTTGTGGCGATGTCACAGCTGGCACGGATTTCACAAACAACGACCTTTGGACCCTTTCCGGATTGCAGCATATATATTTAGGATTCAGAACAAGCACAGTTATGATGATGGTTGTGAAAAAGTAAGTATTAACACAAGATAAAAATTATAACGAGGCCCTCGCATTTCTTTTAGTTTTTATAAATATCTTTAGCATTGTTTGAGAAGATTATGCCTGACGTAAAACATGGATGAAATACATTGCAAAAATATATACTGTAGTTGTTTGGAATGCCTCAATTGCGCCACCTTGCGTGAGTAAACCGCACCTTATACATAGGCAGACCGGCAATTCACAACTGCATACTACCTTTGAAACAAAAGCTGGTTTTGTATTTATTAAATTCAAATAAGAACTGTGAACTTTTGTGAATAAGAACTTTTCTGTGAACTGTGAAATTTTGTATGGGATGTATTTACTGTAACAGCAACAAAAAACAATAATTAAATGAAAATGATAAAAAGAAAATAGTCTCCACTTTGCTATTTAGATATCAAAGTCCATGCCAAAAATTCTGCCAAAATTAAAATGAAACAGCATTTGCATTTTAATTTTCCACTTATGTATGAGTCAGATGTGAAAAATTAAAAAGTAAAATTAAATAACGTTTTTATCTTTTCGTTTTACAATTTGACTTTCCTACTTTGCATTTTCATTTTCAAATTCACAACATGCAAAAAAATGTGAACTGCAGCTGCCAGTGGGCGGAGCCATGTATCACTGCTGGGCTCAGTGCGTTTGCTGGTTCCGTGGTCACCTGCATAAATATGTGTGCTACAGTTTAAAAACTCTACTCATATTTTATTTCGTATTTTCAGAATGTCTAAACTAGGAAGCTGGAATAACCAAAGCCGCGAAATAAGAAGCTAAATGAATCGGAAGCTGCAAATAAGTAGCTAAGTTAAGCCACGTGTGACTTCACCATTAGTTCGGGCGACACGGGTGACCATATACAAGAATTATAACGACAACGGCACTGAGAAAGCGCGGCAGTGAACCGTAGCTCCGCCCACTGTCCCGCTCCAATTGCCATATGACTATTAAAACACAAAAGGCTTTTTAATTTTCTTAATTTTTCACATCTGACTCATATATGAGTGGAAAGTTGAAATGCAAATGGTGCTATTTCATTTTAATTTTCATTTTGGCGGGATTTTTTTGTGCATTGACTTTGAAAACTAAGTGGTAAAGTGGAGGCTGTATTATCATTTTATCATTTTCATTTTATTTTTTGCAGAAAATACCTCCCATAGTAACGTATTAAACGGTACTTCTTTAATTAACGTGTGCTATACGTGCAATGACGGTTTTGCGCTCTAACAATATGTGGCGCATAAATAATTTTATCGTATTTAGAGAACTCGGATCACTTTATTGCCAGTATGTGAACATACCGGAATTGATTGTGACGTGTGTGTGTGTGTGTGTGTATGTAATACACATTATGTATATTATACATATTACATATGTGTTATATATTTCTGGCAGTTTTAGCTTGGGGTTCTAATTCGTTTATTTAGGAGACGGATGGCTTCAGAGAAGAAGCTGTGTAGGAGGCGACTGGTTCGGGAGGTGGACTGCTAACATCTCCCTGAAGGCACGTTGATGAACAGATGGTTGCTTGGGTGTGTGGAGTCTGCTGCAATCCTCGCTCTTCTCTCTATTCGCTCTGAAAGTGAACAGTTCTTTTATGGCTGGAAGCTGGCAGCCAATGGGCTAGTCAGCTGAGCAGATGACCCGTAGCCTGGACTTGGAGAGGCTGGTAGCAGCAAGAAACCAGACGGCAATAGAGTTTGTCACGATAGAGATTTTGGTCTATCGTCTTAATCGCGATTGAGATCACGTGACGTTGCACGTTAGGTAACCACGCATTACACATTCACTTCGACAATGGAAGAAGACGGTGCAGCGGTGAGTTTGCTTACATGTGACGAAACCAACAACGAGGAGATTGTAAAGAATACTATATTGTCAGGCACTATGTTAGAACCTGTTGTTCTGAGAAAAAAACATTAAACTTACAATACATTGCAGTAAACAGTATGGTTGTTTTTTTACTTAAAGTAATGCTGCAATTCACAGTTTAAATAAAATTACATTATATAAAAGTTTCTTTGTGTTTGAATTTTTATTTATGCATTGCCAGATACAAATTGCTATATTGTGATATATATCGTTATCGAGGTAGAAAATTGCTTCTACCGTATTAGAAGATTTTGGTTATATCGCCCACCCCTACTGGAGGGTACAGTAAGCTGGGTTAGTTTACTGTGGAGCAGCTATGGCACAATGGTATTGAGGCCCGAGCTGAAATCCACAAACAGAATCCTGGCGTAAGTTCCAGGGCAGTCGAGATGACGAAGGATATAATGGAGGCATAAGCTGCATCCTCCACTGATTGGCTTGGACTTGCTTTGACAAACCCGTTTCCTCACCATTTGAGGAATCTGTACTGACAGCGTCTTTGTCTGTAGCTACAGGATTCTTCCTGGCGGTACGTGTTGGGGTGAAGAACGGCTATAGGCAAATTGTAGAGGGTCAAGGAGCTAATCGGTCTGCACAGTGACTTAAGGTGGCAGGTAACACACCATAAGGGCCTGCTGCTTCCCTGGTTTTCTGTTTTGTGAAGAGTTTGTGAACATTTTCCTATTTCTGATAAGGAGACCGAAAGACGGACACTGACAGAGATCAGATTCGAGGTATCTGGTTTTATTCTGGGCAGCTCAAGATTGTCAGAGAGTCTCCAAGCCCACTCAGAGTGGTCCAGGGATCATGGAGGTAGATAATGAAGAAGGAGACTGACGATCAACGGGTAGCAGATCCGCAAAGGTAACTGAGGGCCAAGACGAAGATCGCGGTCGGTAGTCTGGACTCTGGGTGAGGGTTGGGTGATCGGCATCGGTTCTAGCAGGGTAAATATGAGAATCGAGGTCGGCAGTCTGGGCATAGTTCAGGTGTCGGTACTTCGTGGGGTGGGCATAACTCAGAATCTACAAAGCAAAGAAAAGATCGTTATACAGGGAGAATAACACTGGAAAGACAATTCACTGGAAAGTCAATCAAACTCCAGGCAAACCATGCAGATCCCACATAGAACAGCAAACCGGGTTACCAGAAATAGACTTCAAATCAAGAGAGAGCATGAAACAGCTGGGAGAGGTGTTGTCCTCGACTGGAGAAACCAGTGAAATCAGAGAGCCGGAGAGATAGGGATTCCCCAAGGAGGTGAGCCCTATCGGACGGAATCCCAAGGGGGGTGTGGTTTGGATGATGATCAGGTTACCCCAGAGCGATCCATGACAGCTTCACAGTGAATGTAGGGTGGAGGGGAGGCTGTTGGAGGTGTGAAGTGACTGGTTCCAGGGGGTATGGTGACAATGGGACCATCCTCAGAAGTGGATGTGGGGGCAGGTAGGAACAAAATAGGAGCTGAGTGGCAGACTCAGGAGAGGTGAGAATGGGCAGATGTTGATTGTCTAAGCCAGGGGTCTCCAACTCCGGTCCTGGAGAGCTACTATCCAGTAGGTTTTCTGTCCCACTTGGCTTCTGATGAGCCACACCTGTTCCTGGTATTTACCTGAGAACAGGTGTGGCTCATCAGAAGCCAGGTAGGATAAAAAACCTACTGGACGGTATCTCTCCAGGACCGGAGGTGGAGACCCCTGGTCTAAGCTGATCGGCCAGGCTGTGGGAGCTCTTCTCTTTAAAGTTTGTAAGTCTTTGCAGGGAGCTCCAGACACTGTTGTTGATGGAGAAGTTTTTCTCCAGCCATTCCTTGTAGGTGGGTTTCACAACTTACATTTTAAATGATTTTTACACACACACACACACACATACACATACATAAGGGAGATACTGAGAATAAAGCCAGAGGGTAGGTTGAAGTTATATTGTTATTATGTGGGCTGAGACAGTAGAACACACGTTGAGATGTGAACTAAGCCGGTAGAGCACATGCAAACTAAAGTGGCGCCTACTGAATTTAGCAGAACTACATATCCCATGATGCAAAGCAAACCAGATACGGAAAACTGTAATAGTTCAGAGGTCGAAGTGGGCACTGCGTGGATGTTTGGGAGCAGTGATGAGAGTAACGTGTTTTTAACGTTTTTAAAGATCGACTTTTATTATAGGAAAAATGACCTCAAATGATGGTAATTCCACAAAACGCGATTTATTATTTTTGATTTATCGGCATTTGATGGCTAATGGCTATCCGAAAGCTGCAGGCGTGCTGAGAAGACATGTTGCACAGGTAGCCACCTACTCTACTGTACCTTAAGCGTAGCAGTTGTAGTTTGTTTGCATTATAAATGTTCAGATTTTAAGCAGTTAATGATGTGCCTTTGTGATTTTGAGTCGCACAATGCGAGTGTTCGTTTTATCAAAAACTAACGTTAAATGGCTGGCAGAATTATGTATACATACACAGTCTATCAAATACGGTTTATGTACACTAATTTATAATGCCATGCCTGTTACATAAAAATATTATCTATATGGTTATAGATTTAGTGTAACCGCCTGAACGGAGTGTGTTTAGTAAATTTCATTGCCCAATGGTTCATGCAGTATTAATATTTCATGTACAGAATGAATCGACAGCAGCAAAAACGTCGCTTGATGAGATCTACCGCAGATGGCTTAAGTGCGTATCGGCGTTTGTCGGCGCCTATCTGATCATTATAATCATTATACAGAATAGTGTGTTGTATGAATGACGGTATTTCACATGGAAAAATATATTGCTCATCAGAGATGCAAAGGAAACTAGAGCGAGTCCTGTGAAGAACCCTGGCCAGTCGGAAAGCTCTGGGGAAGATGAGGAGACGCCCCCTCCCTCGGGTAACTGGGCTTAAATAGTAATTCAGCTGTTTTTTCTCAATTCTTTTCATTTTATTTCCCTCTCAATACTTAACTCCTCTGGATGTTTCACCAGCCTCCCAGACGTCCTTGAATCTCAGCGCTGTGAATCCCCGGGTAACCCAGCCTGTGTTGAAGTCCCCCGTGGCTAAGAAACCAGGAGCTTCAGACACAGAAAGCACAGATGACTCGGACGTCATAGAAAACACTCCTCAACCCCTGGTCAGTATCATAAATCGGACCTTACTCTGAGCATGGGTAGAATCCATGTTGACCTTTCAAGCTTGGGATGAGTTTGTCCAGTGTAGTCACAGATACCCTCACTATAGACGTAAAGTGTCTTGTATCTGTCTATGACCCAGCATTTGTTCAGGTCACCCATCTTATGTATTGTAATCACAACTGGTGTCAATCTATTGTGTTATCGGTTATTTTCATAGCTGTGCAGAATAAGGACTCCTATCAACTTGTTATTTTGTCCTGATGCAAAGTGCATCAGATAGATTTATGTGTTGTATAGTCTACATGTAGGCAAACTTTTGTAATTTCAACTATGTAAAAACCCGTGAATTAAAGTCATGCATCAACTGTTTATATTGTTAGCATTGAAATGAAGACATGCTAAAGACGGTTAACCATGACTTTTCCTCTCTACTTCCAAACGCAAGTAAAGCAGCCTCCTAATTAAGAAAACAAATACACTTGTTCTATACAATTTATACAGTTCTGTTCCATTCATTAAAAAGAAAAAAAAAATCAGGTTTTCAAGTTCTCGTTTGCAGTGCTTGCTGTAAAAGTACACTTGAGGTGTTAACTGAAGTGCTGTTATATTTCACTGTACACAGAAAATTTTGTCAACGCCTAAAGTCAACTCTGTGTCAGCTACTGGCAAAGCAAGTAAAATGGTTCGTTCAGAAAAACCAAAAAAGAAAACAGCCCATGATGGTGACTCAGACAGTGAATGTGACATCCAGCCCTCGCAGGTGGGAGTGTAATAATGTTCTTTCTTAATCTACAAAAATGAGCTGATGTACTGTGTTCCTGAAGATCGTGGCATCGTGTTTGTTACTCCCCGATAGGTACCCTTCTTCACCCCAACACGTACTGGCAGAAAGAATCCTGTAGCTACAGACAAAGACGCTGTCAGTACAGATTCCTCAGATGGTGAGGAAACGGGTTTGTCAAAGCAAGTCCGAGCCAAGCGGTCACCAGGAAAGAGCATCTTAGCCAAAGGAGCCACCGTTAGATCTAATCAGGCTCTGCACAGCAAGACCGCAGACACTAATCAGGTCACAGCTCCAGAGAAAACAGGCTCAAGCACTGACAGCGACAGCACCAGTGACTCAGACAGCAGCAAAAAAGCTCCAGCAAAGGGGATCCCAGTAAAGACTGGTCTGTCTGTGTCTGCAAAGACCATGCCTGCACCTAAGACTTCTGCTACAGGAAAAAAAGCTGAGAGCTCCGATGATTCGGACAGTGAAGAAGAGGCTCCAGTGAAGGCTGTTTTGGCAAAGGGAGCTCCATCTAAACTAAACCTTGCCAAACCTAGCCAGGGTACCCCTACTAAGGCTGCAACTACTACGAAATCCTTATCTGCTACAAAGAAAGATGCTAGCTCAGACACTGGAAGCTCAGAGGACTCAGACAGTGAAGAAGAGGCTCCAGTGAAGGCTGTTTTGGCAAAGGGAGCTCCATCCAAGCCAAGCCAACCCAAACCGATTATCACAACCGCTACACCTAAGGCTGCATCTACAGGAAAGAAAGCAGAGAGCTCAGACTCTGAGAGCTCGGATGACTCGGGTAGTGATGAGGACGCTTTTGATAGCATAGTCATAGCTAAAGCACCCCCAGCTAAGGCAAGTCAGCCTGTACTCGGCAAACCCTTAGCAACACAGAAGGGTAAAGTGACAGGAAAGAAGGCAGAGAGCTCAGACACCGAGAGCTCCGATGATTCGGACAGTGAGGAGGAAGCGGTGGCAAAGACTGTGTTATCAAAGGCAGCCCCCGTCAACCCTGCCAAGTCAAGCCTGATGAGCCCTACCAAAGCCACACCTACGCTGAAAACCCCTGCTGTAGGGAAGAAAGATGTTGTGTCAGACAGTGGAAGCTCTGAGGACTCAGACAGTGAAGAAGAGGCTCCAGTGGCAAAGGGAGCTCCATCTAAACCAAGCCAACCCAAACTTAACACAACTGCTATACCGAAGGCTGCATCTATAGGAAAGAAAGCAGAGAGCTCAGACAGTGGAAGCTCTGATGATTCTGATAGTGAAGAAGAGGCTCCAGTGAAGACTG